AAAAAAAAAAAAAAAAAAAAAAAAAAAAAAACTAAGCAAATTAACTAAGCAAAACTTTCAATTGTTTCAATTGAGTAAATAAATTTTTTATTAAAAAGAATGAATCGAATAAGCACTAAGCCTTAATTCCTTGAGTTTTTAACGGACTTTCAAAAGTTTGGTTCGGCCCGAATTTTTCGACGCGTTTTTTTTTATTTTAAAACGCGAATCAAGGTGAGGTGATTTTTTTTTAAGAAAACAATGATTTTTTGATTGTATTTTAAAATTGTTATTAATTGTATTACAAAAGATGTTAACGAAACGAAAAGTTTGAAATACGGTAAATTTTATAATAAATTGAACTGAATGCTTTTATTTATATATTTAATATATACAACAATATATAAATCAATCAAATCTGAATTTCTTTTTATAAAATTTATAAAAATTTTTATAATTTTTTATAATTTTTTATAATTTTCTCTCTCTCTCTCTCTCTCTCTTTTCTACTCTCTCTTTTTACGTGTAAAAAAAAAAAAAATGTCATCGATCAACTTAATTTCATTCGTGATTCTTGCTTTATTCACTTTAAATATTGTTTGTAAGTTAAGTTTTATATTATATTTGATTTATTTACTAATAGATAAGTTTTTGAAATAATTTTTTTACATGTGTTTTTTTTGATCTTTATAGCAGAAATCACGGTTTTAACACCAAATGAAAAATTTTATGGTGTCGTTAATGAAACTTTACCAATCACTTGGTCATCAAGTGGAAATGATGGTAAAATTTATTATCTTTTTAATAATTATTTTGTATTAAATATACTGATTGTATTAAATATATTAATATATATATATATATATACAGTCCCACAGGCTATTACTATTAAACTTATTTCAAAAACTCAAACTAGTTTATTTACTGGTGAATACGCTGTAGGACAAAGTATTCCAACATCAAGTGGAAATTATGCATGGCGTATAACTGATAATTTGGTTGGTGATAATAATTGGGTATTAAAATTTTATAATGCTTTATCTGAATTAAATGATAAAACTCCTCCCGTTGCTCAAAGTAAAGAATTTAGTATTAAACCTGCTGGTACTAAACCTCCTTCAAATGATACTATTACTAATACTAAAAAGAATCATTCAAATAATATTTTTGATTTTTCTACTTCTTTATTTATTTTCTTCTCTTCATTCATTTCTTCTATTATTATTATTTATCAATTTTAAATATTTTTAAAATTAGATAAAATAGTGATTTGTATATATTTACTTGTATATATTTACTGTATATATTACATGTAATTAAAAGAAATACATTAATATAAAATAAACATTTATTTGTACTTTAAACGCGTGTTAAATCTAATAATAAAATTTATAAACCATCCTTTCAGCCAATTCTTTTCCAACTGCTGCATAATATTCCTTCATTCTATTTTTTATACCATCATTTTTTAATTCAGGTATATCCTAAAAAAAAAATTGAAATTAATAAAATAAATTATTCCCTATTTAGACTATTAGAAAAACTTACCCCAAATTGTTTAATAATTCCCTTGTAATTCACTTTAATAGTTTCAATATCTTTATCCGAGACTTTTTCTGGATCCAACATTCCTGGTGGAGGTTCATCCACGTAATCATCATCGTCACTATCATATTCTTTATTATTTTCTGTTGGTGGATTTGGTGGATTTGGTGGATTCGCAAATGATACGTAATTATGCTTATCAAGAAGCGCTGAACATTTATCAAAAGAATACCATTCGTATGTTTCCTAAATTATGAAAAGTTGAATATTATTTTAATTTAAAATATTTTAATATATATATAAAACAATAAAAAAATAAATTCAATACAAACAGGATCTAATAAATCAGATGGTTTATACTGTCCCTTATATTTCATCTTTTGACATGTATGAATATAATATCCTATAAAAAATTTTTCATTAGAATTTACAATTTTTGATAAAATAATTGTTTCATATGGTACTAACCCATATAATACCAATGTAAATCTTGTAACCCAGCATTATAAAGTTCTTGTGCCATTACAATTTCTCTAAGTGCACTATATTTTCCAATTTGTAAAAAATTATAATCCGGATCATACAAAAAATAAACTGAAGAGATGCATTTTGGTAAAACATCAAGAACTGCAACTGCAATAAGTTTATTATCCAAATAATAACATTGATGAAATGATCCATATCCTGGTGTATTCGGATTATTCACTGATTCAAACTTTTTAATGGTAAAAATAAAATTTTCAGATTATATATATTTTCGCTTATATTTAAAAAAGAAAAAAAAAAAAGATATAATTACTTGTAAAGGTGAATTCACAAGGAACCTTCGAAATCCACCTTCAGTAACTTCAGAAGGATCATCATTATGAATATTGATCTGATATTTGTAATAAAGTTCATACTTTTCTCTTGAAAAAGATGATTTTTCAAACACGATCTTTTTAAATATATAAAGTGATTTTTTAGTAAGATAATTTTATATATAATAATATATATATATATAAGTTTTTCTACCCTTAAATGATGTTTCCAGTCTTGTCGATCTTCAGCCTCATTAATGATCTTGACTAAATCAAAACCCGAACTTGCTCTTGTATCTTTCTTTGATTTATTTTGTTGAGAATTACCTCTTCAAGATCAAACTTAAATAAATAAATAAAATTTATTTTTTTTTTTTTATCAATTTCATTTTATAAACTTACTTTGATTTTTCATCACCTTCATCATCTCCATCTTTATTATCTTTATTATTAGATGGATCATAAGTTCCTTCAATATATCTATTGAATCGATTGATCAATTTTCGTTGAGATTTGGAGACATTAAATTTATTTGCATCCAATCTAATATATAAAAGTAAATTTTAATTATAAATTATTGGTTTTTTTTAAAAAAAAAAAAAATTTAAAATATAATAATAATTCATTTTTATTACCTTATTGTGTACTGTGGGCAACAACTTTTTTTCATATGAGGTTTATATATGTAACCACCAGAACTATATTATAAACAAAAACGCGTTAATCTTGTTAATCTTTAATAATAAAAAAAAAATCATTTATTCCTTTTTTTTTTTAAAACAAAAAAAATTCTCAAGGATCAATTACCGTCTCCAACCACGATCAACCAAATCTTGATAATCCTTTTTTTTTTAAAAAAAAAAGTATATATATAATTATATATAATTAAAATTAATAAATTTATTAAAATATTTAAAATAATGTTATGTTCAAAAAATTACCTTACAATTTAAACTAGTTGCTGTTATAGCAAACTTACTGGATCCAAAGTTTGATCCACAATAACCACATATTGAACTATGAGAACCATGACTATACACAAGTGAAAACTTTGACATTCTAAAACCTTTTCTTTTCTTACAAAAAAAAAAGAAAAAAAAGACTTAAAAAAACCAGTACCTTCCATTTTTATATTTATCGTGGATCTTATTTATAGAAATGATCTACCTTTCGATTATCATTTAACTATGTAATACACGAAAATCAGATCAATAGCATTTCTGGAATTTCGCATTTTTTTTTCTGCAATTCGGCAAATTCGGGTAAATATCAAAAAACCATCTAAACATAAATGGTGGAGATCACACCTTAAACATGAATACGTGACATTTTAAGACGTGAGATGCAATAATGCGTCATTAAAAAAAGATGATCTATATAAATATCAACTCTACCAAATCATTTTTTTTTCTTTATCAAACGTTTAGGAATCTTGAACCTTTACGTGATTGGAATTATCGTTGTTACAACGGTATCTTAGTGTTTTTTCGACTTAAGAGCTGTTAATGAAAAGAGCTCGATAGTTGTTGACCGTGATCTTAAAACGGTCATGGCCTACATTCGAAATTGTTTACAGATTGCTTCCAAGAACCTTACAGGAGGCGCTTTCTCGCGCTCTCCAATAACGTTCAACAATTGCTTAAATTCTACTATTAATAAAAATTCAAGAAATTTTTTAAATCAGTCAAATTCTCACGTCTCGCGATCGAATATATCAACACTTATTTCACATTCAGTTCCACAAACTTCAAATTCTCCTATACTTCTTCTTTTACAACCTTTGCGCTATGAAACACAATATCAAAGGGCTTTTTCTTGTAGTACTAGTCAAAAATTCTTTATTTTTACGCGAAATTATGCTCGTAATAGATCTAAATCAAATGATTCAAAATTGAATTCTAATTCTGGATCAGGTGATAATAATTCTAAGAACAATAGTTCTGAAAGTGGTGAAAATAATAATGGTAACAATGGTGATGACTCTTCAAGTAATGGTAATAATGGTGAAAATTCTAATGGTGGTAATGGTAATGATAATAAAGGTAATGGAAACAAAGGTGATGGATCTAATAAAAATAATGGAAATGGATCAGGAGATAGTAATGGACCTCGTTCGCCATTTGAAGGTAGTATTCATAGGACTCTTCAAGTATTAGAAACAACATTACAAAAACCTTCTATACCGGATGTTTATCCACAAGTATTGGCTATACCAATAACTCGTCGCCCATTATTCCCTGGATTTTATAAAGCTGTTGTAATTAAGGATCCTCATGTCACGGCTTCCGTTAAAGAGTTGATGAAACGTGGACAACCTTACGTAGGAGCATTTCTTTTAAGAGATGAGGAAGCGGATGTCGACATAATAACAAACATTAATCAAGTTTATAGAGTGGGGGTTTTTGCCCAAATTACCAGCGTTTTTCCTGCTAATGGTGGGCAAGATGAAAATTCTTTAACGGCTGTCTTATACCCTCATCGACGTATTCGTATTAAGGAACTTATACCTCCTTTAACAACAACAAATGTTTCGGAGGCTGAGATCGTCTCTGATTCAGTACAACAAACTGCTGTTGATGAGCCACCTAATTTGAAACCTCCACCACAACAACCTAAAGGTAATTATAAATTATTATTAATGACATATGTTTTTTTTATTGATAATTTTATTATTTGATAATACATCCGTTAGAAAAAGAGACTCAATATGCTACGTCTTTTCTTGAAGATTATAATGTTTCACTTGTTAACGTTGAAAACCTCAATGATGAATCATACAACAGAAAAAACCAAATTGTTCGCGCTATAACTTCGGAAATTGTAGCCGTATTTAAAGATATAGCTACATTAAATCCACTTTTTCGGGATCAAATTGCTAATTTTTCAATGTCTCAATCCGCCGGAAATGTATTTGAGGAACCTGCAAAACTTGCTGATTTTGCTGCCGCAGTTTCAACTGGTGAACCACAAGAATTACAAGAAGTACTTGAAAGTTTGGTTATCGAAGAACGTTTACAGAAAGCTTTACTTGTTCTTAAAAAGGAATTAGTAAATGCTCAATTACAAAGCAAAATTAGTAAAGAAGTAGAATCGAAAATTGCTAAACGTCAAAGAGAATATTATTTGATGGAACAATTGAAGGGAATTAAGAAAGAATTAGGTATTGAATCGGATGGAAAAGATAAACTTGTGGAGAAATTTAAGGAGAAAGCAGATAAGCTTGCGATGCCAGAAGGTGTAAAGAAAGTTTTTGAAGAGGTACATATAAGTTGTAATTTATCATATTGTTCTTTAATTATTTTATATATAACTTATTTCATAATTAGGAAATCAATAAACTTGCTCATTTGGAACCTGCAGCTTCCGAATTCAATGTGACTCGTAACTATCTTGATTGGCTCACTCAAGTTCCCTGGGGTTTAAGATCCCCGGAAAACTATAATATCAAACATGCTGTTACGGTACTCGATGAAGATCATTATGGTCTTCAAGATGTAAAAGATAGGATCTTGGAATTCATTGCTGTTGGTAAATTAAGGGGTACCGTCGAAGGGAAAATATTGTGCTTTGTTGGACCTCCTGGTATGTATTTTAATTTATACCACGTTTCCTAATAGTCGTCTGTGATATTTTTATGGGTGATGTTTATTTAAAAGGATAAACTAAAAAAGTCTATCAGTAGTTTAAAATTATATACGGGACGTTAGTCTCCGTGGTATAAACCAGTTATTTCACGGATCAGCATATCATCACAGCGGAGCCGTGATAATCAATGATATCTACGGCTTCCCGTGAAATAACTATTACATATAAGATGTGATGTCAAATTATATAACATTTTATAATTTTTTTTTTTATTTGATGTATATAGGTGTTGGAAAAACTTCTATTGGAAAGTCAATTGCAAGAGCTCTTTCCCGTCAATTCTATCGTTTTAGTGTAGGCGGTCTTACTGATGTCGCCGAAATCAAAGGTCATCGACGTACATATGTTGGAGCAATGCCTGGCAAGGTTGTTCAAGCATTAAAGAAGGTGCAAACTGAGAATCCATTGATTCTTATCGATGAAGGTATGTAAAAAATATTATCCTATATGATTTCATTTTTTAAAATTTCTTAAATTTCGAATTCATTAATTATATGAAATTATTTTTTTTAAGTTGACAAAATTGGTAGAGGACATCAAGGTGATCCAGCTTCCGCACTTTTAGAACTTCTTGACCCTGAACAGAATTCATCATTTTTGGATCATTATATGGATGTTCCAATAGATCTTTCAAAAGTGCTTTTTGTTTGTACAGCGAATGTAGTAGATACAATACCAGGACCATTACTTGATCGTATGGAAGTAATACAACTTTCTGGATATGTAGCTGATGAAAAAGTTGCTATTGCTTCTAAATATTTAGCACCAACTGCAAAAGATATGGCTGGTTTGCAAAATGCTAATGTTATACTTAAACAAGATGCTATTGAAGCATTAATTAAATCATATTGTCGAGAAAGTGGTGTTCGTAATCTTAAAAAACATATTGACAAAATTTACCGCAAAGCAGCTCTAAAGATAGTAAAGGATATCGGCGAAGAAGAATTGCCTCCACAAGAACTTGATAATATCGAGGCAGAATCCGAAACTCCTGAAAAGGAAAAGGAAAAGGACAAAGAAACAACTATCACATCTGAACCACGTAAACCTTTGGAAGTTCCTTCAGATGTTCATGTTGATATTACTTCTGAAAATTTGAAGGAATACGTAGGACCCCCTCTATGGCATTCAGATCGCCTATATGATAATACACCACCTGGTGTTGCCATGGGCTTGGCTTGGACAAGTATGGGTGGGTAGGAATTTTCTTTAAATAATTCAATTTATATATTATAATTAATGAATTAACTTTTCAAGTTTTGACCATTGAATTTAGGTGGTTCCGCATTATATGTTGAATCCACACTTGAGTCTATCCTTACTCCAACATCAACTCCTTCTCTTTCAAAAACTGGACAAATGGGTGATGTAATGAAGGAATCTTCAAACATTGCGTACACATTTGTAAAAAGCTTAATGGCTCGGTCATACCCGGAAAATAAATTTTTTGAAAGAGCTTCTATACATCTTCATGTACCAGAAGGCGCAACTCCAAAGGATGGTTTGTACTATTCACTTTTTTTATAACTTTTTTTTCACACTTGTAATTTGACATAACATCTGACTTTATCAAACATAGGTCCTTCTGCTGGTATTACCATGGCAACTTCACTTCTTTCTCTCGCGCTTAATAAGTCACTTGATCCGACTATTTCAATGACTGGTGAACTTACGCTTACCGGAAAAGTTTTGAAAATCGGAGGACTTCGTGAGAAAGCTGTAGCAGCTAAAAGATCAGGAGTATCCACTATAATTTATCCTGATTCAAATATTAGTGATTGGGAAGAATTACCTGAAAATATTAAAGAAGGTCTTAATGGTATACCTGTAGGGTGGTATGATGAAGTTTTTAAAGTAGCATTTGGAAATGTAACAAATGAATCCGCTGCTAAATCGTGGTCGAAAATGATAGAACCTAGAACTAAAGTTGGTGAGGTTATCAATAATAAGAAAGAAATTGCAGGAATTCATGGCATCAATAGCAAGAAAGATAATGTATTGGAAGTTGCATGAATTTAAATGGACTTTAAAAAAGAGTAAATGATTTATTTTTTTTTACTTTATTCTTATTAATTTTATTAATTTAAAAAATGTGATAGATTTAGACTATAACGTGTGAAGATATTCATTATAGTTAATAAAAACAAAAGTTTATTCTCTAATAATAAATTACATAAGATGATTTGAATATGTATTCCTGAATTATAGATAAAATATTATGATACAAATGTAATACCAGTTAAATTTAAAACTAAAGATTTTTTCTTAACATAGTAATAAAATATAAAGTTATATTATTTCAGATAATAATTTAAAAAAAAAAAAATATTTAAACACAAAAATGTTTTTATAAATTTAAAGATTATATAAAAACTATTTATCAAATATTAAATTTAAGTAAGTTGTATTTATTAATAGAATGAAAAAAATATAAAATGGAAATTTGTAAATTCTTTTAATATGTTAAATTAAAAATAATATAAATTAGAATTAATTTTATAATAAATTATTATTAGCAACTTTTCTTTAATTAAATATAATACTTATATAAATAATTATATTAAGTACTTTATATTTTAATATTGTTTCTTAAATAGTAATGCAAACAAATTTGCTTGCAATTTTTTTTAAAAAAAAATTTATTATTAGTAAAGTTTTTTAATTTTATTTGAAATATTATATAATTCTACAGGTATAATAATTAGCTATACTAATTTTTGATGTAAAATTAGTTCAGATGGTATACAATGATAGCAGAAAACATAAATCTAGATGATTATAAATAATTATAAATTAAAAAATTTTAGATGTTAATTAATTAGACCTGATTTACTAATTAAAATCAATAGAAGTAAAAGTAAAAATTAGTATAGCTATAATAATTAATATGATAATCAAATATATAAAAATCAAGTTAAAAGTTGGTTTGCAAACCAAATTTAAAAATTCTGAAATTTTTATTTTTATTATAAAAACTAATAAAAAGAAATATAAATATATTAATCAACCAGATGTTGATAATGAATAAAACAATATTAATTGCCGATCCGTATGTGATCGATAGAATTTACATAGTAAAATGCGGCATTATGTTAATTAATAAAAAAAATGCTGTTTGAAATCTCTGTTTCCCCAAGAAACAACAACGTCAAATACATACATAACTCCCAAAAAACTTATTGCAACTGGCGCTATTATATCAGAACTTTATTATTATGTCCATATTTATATGACTTGTTTATTATTTTTTTAAAAAAAATTCAAAATAACTATTCCTATTTTGAGATTATGCTAAAACTTAATAAAAGTCCTTTTATTATTCATATATTTCATTATATTCATATTTTTTACAAACTGGACATATTTGTGAAAGAAAAAGAAATATAAAAGTGCGTAGTGTTATTAAAAATGTAATAGTTGTCAGAAATAATAATCAAAAAAAGTTTTATAAGCGTCAAAGAAAAGTTAAAGAGCTAGAAATCGTTTATACTATAGAAGTAAAATAGTAGTAAATACTATGAAATCTCCGTTTTTCACATATAAAACTTTATAAACTGCAAAGAAAAAAAACTTTTATAAAAAATTTTTTTTTTTCTAAGATCTTAAACGTATATTGCAGGTGTTAAATTACGTAATTGTATAACAATATGGTTGCATTTTATTTGATATAAAAACATGATCGACATGGCTTATATATAAATGTTGTGCCGCATTTTATTATATAAATTCTATCGATCATATGCGGATCAGCAATTAAATAATAATAATAATATTAAAGAAATTAGAAAAATTAAAAAAAATATTAGAAGTAAAAGTAAAAGTAAAGATAAAAGTAAAAATAAAAGCAAAAGTAGAAATAACAATAGAAATAGTAATAGAAGAACAGGCTATACTATTATAGTAATGAAAATGAACAAATTATATATCAATATATATAAGGTTGCTTGCCGAAACCTAGGGGTTTAGGCAAGATGGCGTTTCGCCGAAAAGCGAAATTCTGCTAAAACTATATTAAAATTATATTAAAAAACTGGCAAAACTTTGGAGAAAAGTGAAACTAGCGAAACTTATTATAAATGCTGAAACCTGAAACTGCCAAAACTCTGCCAAAACTATAATAAATCTATAGTAAAATTTTAACGAAACTAATCGTAGGATTTTGAAGAGGTTTAGACAAGCAACCTTAGATATATATAAAGTTAAGTTGATAAATTAATAAATTAATTTAAGTTTATTCAAATTGATCTTTTTAAAAAGCAATAATATATTATAGTAACAGGCAAATTTTAAACTTTCATTAGTTAAATTATCATCAAATAGTCATTTATCCAAATGAAAAAAAATAAAAAGTAATTATATATAGTATAAATATTTAGTAAAAAAAATCAGAAAATAATATCAAAAAATCTATTTCAATTATAATTATATTGTATAAAATTGCAGAGTTTTGCCTAAGACTTTCATATAGTAGTTTCAATAAAGTTTTGCTATTTTGGAAAATTGATTTAAAATTATTATACTTAAAAAAAAAATAATAATTAATAAAATTTTTTATATTTTAAAATCAGTTTAATTAATTTTTTAAAAATTATTCATTTTTTAAAGTTTTACTATATAAATTAAATAGTAATCAAGTATTTTTTTTGATTTAAAACTAAAAAATTTACAATTAAAACATTTATATTGCAAATTACCATTAAATTTTTTTTTACTTTATTTTTCTTACAGTAAAGTTATAAAATCTTTCATATTCTATACAGTAATTGTATATAATTGTAATTTAAAAAAATTAGATCTGCATAATATCTAATAAAACTAATAAAATACAATCAATTATATTAATATAAAAAATTGGCTCAAAAATTCAAATAAAATAAATATAAACCAGTTTTATTAATTGATAATATAATATTTTTATTAGTATCAGTAGGTGACATCTCCCAAAGAGAAAGTTAGCAAAATTCTAATAAAAATATTAAAAATATGATTTTATATAATTTTTTTTTAATATAAACTAATAAATTTTATTATAATATTTAGATATTAAAATTGGAACTTAATATTTATTTTTTTATTTAAGCCAAGATAAACTTTTTAGAATATTAAAGAAATTTGTAATATTATGGATATTAATTATACAAATAGAATATTTGTAAATCATTTATTCTGAAAATATATTGCATAAAAATTAAATAATGGAAAATTAAATTTATAAGCTATTATAATGTAATATTATATTAATTTTTTGCAAAATTAAATATATAAGCAATTATTATATCAATTTGAATTTTTTTACTTTATTATTAAAATTCATTTTATTTAGATACTAAACATAAAATGAAAAGCAAATGTTGCAAAATAATCACTTTCAGGTATTTCAAGAGTATTTAATTAAATTTTTATTATAATAATTATAAGTCTAATATAAATGCAAAACTTAATATAGAAATTTCAATGCAAAAAATATAGAAAATAATTCATATTTTAAGAAAAAATTAAAACAAAACCATTTATTAAAATTTAAAATACCATATAAATTCTTAAGATAATTTAATTAATAATCTTTATTTTAAGTTTATAATATTACTATTAATATTATAAAATAAATAATTTGGCTAGTTATCAATATAAAAAAATACTAGAAATATATAAATAAATATATACAAATTAATTGTTTAGTAAATATAAGTATAATTAGATAACTGTATAAATGGCATTAATTAAAGAATAATAAATATTATATACAATTAGTTCTTATTATAACAAATTTTAATTATTTAATATAATGAATTATTTGATATAATGAATCTTTAGTGTTATACCAATTTTTACATATAAAAAAAAAATTTGCTTTACTAATTAAATGCTGTATATCATTTAATGAAGTAAATCTGTAAACTTTTGATAATAAACTTTTTTAAATACAATAATAATATTTTATGTAACATATGTTGTATATAACATAAGAAATTATAATATATTACAATATACCAAAATTTTATATATTATACTAGATTTTTCCATTATATTAAAATTTGCTATATTTTATTAATGAATTTTCTTATAATAAAGGTCTAATTGACTAAACCATCAACTTCGTTATATTGAGAGCTAAATTTTTAGGCTATAAAATTCTAGAATTTATACCAATTTCTCTTATATTACTTATAGTATTAATTATTTCTCCTTTTTTTTAATTAAATAGTTAGTATAAATATAATGCCATTATTAAAGTTAAATAATAGGAGTATTTTATTTAAAAATACAGTGTGTAACAAAAAAATTGGAATTAAAAAATTGTCTGTAACACCATGATGATCGCACTAAATTATATGTAAAATAGCTTATTCGAAAGCTGAAAACCTGTAGATTTTATCAATAGTAAATTAAAATGGTATTTACTAATGCAGTAATTTTTTATAATTAAGCTTATAATAATAATTTTTTTAGATTAAACCTTTTTTATAACTAATTTAGAATTAATGTGTATTTCTTTGCATAAAGTGCAGTAAATAGTCAAAAAAAAATTTTTTAATTTATACTTTTCTATTGTTCTTGATAATATTTGAGAAATTTTCAATGACTTTGTATTCATTATAAATTCACAAATTACAAATTATATTTTTCCTTCAAAAATCAACACTTGTAGTTAATTTTCTCAAGAAGTAAAAAAGCATTATGATCATGGAAGATGTCAAAATGTAGCCCTGATATTCAAGTTTATTTTGCATTTTAAATGATAAAAATTGAACTTATTTTGAGTGAACTACATGCATTTTTGTAGTTTGAATAATTTTTTAGCTTTTTTACTATATACCGAAATTGAGGAATTTTGAAGAGTAAATTTTTCATCATTCTACCATAAATGTTTCTATACTGCTGATTTTTTGGTATCAACTTTTTTACATTATTCTTAACAATATTTGAATGTTTTTAATTTAAATTCAATATTCAAATGCTTTGTAATCTTAATTTATTTTTTTATTATATTTTTCTGTTTAAAGTAAATATTTACAGCGAAATTTTTCAAAAAATGATGAAGCAATTATAATTTTAAAAGATATCATACTATAAATCTTGGTCATAGGTTTATTATCCAATTTACACAAAGAAAATCAGATTTATTTTGAGCGTATAATACGCATTTTTATTACATGAATGATATTCTGGTTTTTTTTGTTACACACTGTATGTCTTTTATTTTATACTAAAATTATCTATATTTACTATAATACTGTAAAATTTGAAGAATATTTGGATTGTATTTCAAATTTAGGTGATAATTTTTGCATAATAAATCTTTAATAATATTATATATTATAATTGATTAATATTGATATTTCTGCTAAAAATGTAATTACAACTAAGTCTTACTAATCACAACTCACAATTTGCAACTGAACTATATTTTTTTTACATAACTATAATTACATAATTATTTGAAAAACAATTAAAGCATCAACCTTAATTTTTGCCAATAATCTGAATTGACTTTATGAAAATCAGCCAAGAAAATTTCTGAAATATTTTTATAATACTTTTAGGAAATATATCTAAAAATCACATTGCAAAAAAATAATACAAGTGGAAAAGGTTGCAGGTATTTTTAAGATTATCAAACTTAAGCAATTATGAATTAAAGTTGAATTTAACAGCTTCTCTTACCAACAAAAAACATGAACTCATTATTAATAGTATAACCTGATATAAAGCATATTTTATAAATCTTATTACTAATGGATTTAAACAACATTATAAATTAAAAAATCTTTTGCTTAATATAATAGGTTTCATAATCTACCAGGTAAAGACATTAGAACAATTTGCTAAGATGGTGCATTATATACATCATCTATCTAATTAGTTAACATAACTACCTGGCAGTATACATATGGAATTCTATTAGAGAATAATAAAAGGTTTATAAATTAATAATATTTGAGTAGGATATAGATTTTACTCTATGTATAATTTCTAGTATTTACTTTAATAAATTTATAAATATATTGCAGTTAGCAAAAAAAAAAAACAAATAATCTGAATTCTTTCCATTTAATTAATAGCAATGGATTTTGAAAGAGATTGTTATTATATAGTAATCTTTATTGTTGTGACTTTTTAGCCCACTTGTTAAGGGTTTTTACTGAAGTTTCATAAAAAAGTCTCTAAAATTTTATCTATCAAGACAATTATTTAATAAAAGAATATGCTTGAAGGTATTTTTGCATTGTAAAATTTTGGCAAAGCAGATTATATACTTGTTTGTAAGAACTGATAAGTTTAATTACTTTTACAGATGAATAAAGATTATTTAAGATATTGTTTTGTAAGTACTATTTTTGAAATTTCTAATAAATGAATTTAAGGTAAACTTTAGTTAAGTCTTTTAACTTTTCTTTTCTTTCTTTTACAATAATCTTTACAAACTTTTTTTATGTAGAAAGATTTTCCTGCCTTCCCTCCACGAAATGCAGTAATTTATTTATTATGATCCATAATGATTTTATTTTTGATTTTTTCGTTTATTTTTTTGATTTTTTTTCGTTTATTTTTTTGTTTATTTTTTTATTTATTTGTTTATACTTGGAAAGTAAATTTTATCAGTATAAATATGACATGATTGGTCGATAAATACAATTCTCATCTTGAAGTCATGTGACATTCGATATATAAATCGGTACCATACAGTATTTTTCTTTTTAAGTTCTTTAACTCGAACGAATAAAAGATATGGAAGAAGAAATTCGTGAGAAGGTAGTTACAGAAACTGTTGAAACTATTTCAATACCTGAACAAAAACCTCAAATAACAATAGAAACTCCTCAACAAGAAGTTCAATTAAATGTAAAGAAATGGCACGAAATTTTCTCGGATTTTTTCATTAAGGTAATGTTTGTTTTTTTCAAAGCATTTTATTAAATTTTGATAATTAATTTAAGGAATAGAAATCGACTCTTTTTAATAGATTGGAATGATCGAAACTAATAGAGCTTTATTAATGGAATTAATTGTCTTATCAACGAATAATGAAAAACAAATTCCAAATCATATTGATTGGTTATTGAAAGAATTAACGGTAAAATTTCCTTTATTTATTCGTTGTTCTATTATCTATTATTTTTTTTATTATTACATTAACAAAAAATAAAATTTTCTTCGAAAAAAAGGCATTGAAATCAAGAATTGGTGATTCTTCTTCTTCAGAGTCTGCTAAGAGAAAAATTGAACCGGAAAAAAATGGTTTGTCATATGAAAATTTTTTTGTGAAAATAATTGTTATTAAGTATTGATTTTTGATTAATTAGGTGAAGGAAGTCTGGCAAAAAAAGTTCAAATACTAATGAATCCACAAGAAGTTCAAATCAGAACAACGAATTCTGAGGTAGATTTTATGAAGTTTGAGCATATATGTATACATATATTTGATTCTAATTTGGATAACACGCCATATATATACATACACATAGCTCGAGCAACGAATTGATAATTTCATACAATTAAAGAAATCAGAAATAAATAATAGTAATCGTGCCGAATTTTTGAGGAAGTCAACTAATCCTCTAGATCCTAATGGTAAACGTATACTCATCCATTTATTTTAGTATATATCTATCTATGAGAAAATCTATTCATAAATAAATTAATCAAACGCAGATGAACAATCATGCGCTCGGTCTGATGCTGCCGAAATAAATCGAAATATACAAATGAAACTTGATGTAGTAAATAATGAAGATGGACCTTTAGCTCGTTCGACATTTACTTCAACTAATCACAATCGAAGCGATTCTATTAAAAGGTCTTTAGCCGAATTACCCAGAGGTGTTGAGGAAAGATTTCAAAACATTGAAAAGCATTTAGATATAGGTAAATAATATTTTAATTTGAATTTTTTCATTATACATGTATGTATTTAATGCAGATAAGTTTAAGTTTCTTTGCTCGTAAAATATCATGCAACAATTAGTTACACCTGTTCCTCTTAGTGTTTACGAACGATTAAAAGCGTTGGAGGATAAAATAATGCAACTTGAACGAGATTATCCTACCTGGTCAGCTATACATTTTAATCAGCCAAATCGTCAGGTGAGATAATGATCTTGATCGAAAGATATTATGCACTTGATTAATAACCTGTTGATTCACAGTATTCAACTCCCGTGATGACAATGATGCAGACACCCATAAATAATCCTCCCTCTTCAGTTGTCACGTCTACATTTTCAGTCACGCCAACGACACAAACCTATCCATCGATTGATGTGAAACGTACTTCACCCAGCTTGGTATCAACAAATCTATATAATTCAAAGAATCCACGCATTGCACCACGTCCGATTAAACCTAAAGGAAGAGGTCGAGGACAATCTTCATTGACGCGATCAGTTATGGAACAACTGAAATTAATTAATCGTACTGACAATGAAAAGCAAAATGATAATAATGGAACATTTACTCCTATATTAACGAAACCTTCAAATGAGACTTCAAAATCACAAATACAAATACTTCCTCAATCAACTCCACAATTGTCAATACAACAAAGAGCTCCTCAAGTTCAAATACAACCCCAGTTACGTCCTCAAATTATACAACCATCAGTTAATAAATCAAGTGTTACACCAATTCCTATAGCACCTAAACCTTCTGTGCAACAACAACAAAAAAAGATCATAGCGGAAGAAATAATGGCATCAAAGGTATCAATTATTAGAGAAGATCGTAGCGCATCCCCAATAATCGATCCAGGGAGTAATAATGAAACTGTTTCTAAGGAAGACAATATGATGGAAATGGACGTAGAATCCAATGAAGTGAAAAAATCTCACGATATATCAGGTGAAGATGAAAGTTCTATAGTTATTGAAAATGATGATCTAAGTACGAATAGTACAAATACAGAAATTACGCTGATTAATGGCAATGTTACAAATGATATAAATGGTACTGATGCTACCGATCTTGTTTCGAACACTAATGAAAATAAAGAACTTGAACAAATTAAAAACTAAAAAAACTATTTATAATTAATTACATGTAATAAATCAAATAATTTTTGTTGTCACATTTGAATATTTTTTTTTTATTTTTATTTTTATCTAATTTTTTTATTTTTTTTTCTTCTATGACTAATTTGTTCTATATCCTTAAACTGGATCTCTAATGTTTCTATTTGAAGGAAAAAAATAAAATAAAATAAAAGGGAAAAATTACAAAGGAATAATGAAATAAGATTTAGAAAATTAAACTAATTTCTCTAATTCTAATAAACTTAAATGTCAAAAAAAAAAAAATTTACAAAAATGTTCCTTTTTTTTTAAACCTCATTTCGTTGAAAATTAATTAAATTTTTGTCTAAATGAAAATGATGATTAACATTAAGAAAAGAGATTTTTTGAAAGATTAATATCTACAATTAAAATAAAGATTATAGTAAGAAATAAAATTATAATATTAAAATCTAAATTTATTTTTTTGAGTGGTTTCGTTTTTTTATGGTTAATATATTTATGGAAACCATTCATCAGGTAATTATTAAGTGAAAAGAAAAAAAAAAAAAGAAAAAAAGAGGTTAGTAAAATTAAAAGAAGTTTCATTATATATGATCCATCAATATTCTGTCATACATGATCTATTCTCATTGTGTCATTATTATTCAGATCACCATCATTTTCGTTGGTGACACTAGAAATTAAAGAGGTTTCTCCAACGTGAGCTTCCAGAAAATATTTAAAATCTTTTTCTGGTTCATTCTTAAAATTTAGCCAAAATGAATGCGCAGAAAGACAAGATAGTAAATATGCAGCTCTACAATTGTGATGAAATAAAAGATCAAGATTTAATATTTATAATAAAATCAAAACAAACACAAATTATTATATATATATAAAACATACTTTAGATCATCCATTTGGCGTCGTTTTTTCTGATCGATAACGCGCTCCTTTTGATTCTGCTTATCTGAAGAGATAATGGTACCTTGTGAATGATGGTTACGAGTAGTTCGAGATGAGTACCTTTTTTGTATTTTATCATGTGACACTTGTTTTCTATATTGAATTAGATCAAAATATTTAAAAATGAGATCCAAAAGGTTTAAAATGGACTTAATTGTAATAAGAAAAAAAGTAATAAATCATATTTACAACGCATCCTGTTGGTGACGCGGTCTCAAGAAGAATTTGGTAAGTTTGCCTTGGTTGACTTTTAGGATAGGTGCTTTTGTAGGACCTACTGCGTTGAGAAGCTTGCTAATTTCACCACTGACAGTGTTTCGCGGAGTTGCACCACTATAAATTATAAAAAGGACGACATTTTGAAGTGAGTTTTAATTAAAAATATAAAAATTTTTTTGAGACGTGCGAGATGATGTCATTACGAATTCTAAAATTCAGATGGAATGGTACTTACTGAAAAACAACTAACTGACGTCTCGTCATTTCGTCAACTAACTCTTGTAAAGAGAGTGGATGGTTGGTTGTTTCAAGAACCGCAATGACGCCAGAGATTATTTTACTATGACCGTGATATACGTATTTTGAAGTTTTGGACGGCATGATGTGACAAAGATGGAAGAATGAAATTCTAAAATTCTAGTAATTGTAAGAGTAATAAGTGGCAATAAAAAGACACGATATAATAAAGTAAATAGAAGTATAAAGAGAAACGGATCAAGTGTATGGAAGGAATGAAAATGGCAGGGATTGTTTTTTTTCTTGCCAAGTTTACTAGGAATTTACAGTAGGTTGGTTGTCAATAAAATGGATAGTTGTTTGCTACGTATTTATGTATGTCGGTCGCGTCGAGATAATTTGTACGATGAGAGGTTTTTTTTGGCACCAATTCGTGGTACAATGTTCAATCTTTAATACCGGTAGTAACCTGACTCCCGATGTGTACGTGTAACACGCATTATTTATGCCAATAAAAAATTCATATTATAAAACTTAACCGCAGGGAGTGCGTTAAATTTCAACTCTAATCTCTTAAAAAGTAAAAAATCCATTTTTCCATTAACTTTAAATGAAATTTGTACAAGGTAATCAAAAAATTGATTCAGGAGATCATATCTTTTTAACTTAAAAAATAAATCTATTTATTTAATAAAAAAAACAATCTTTTAAAAAAAAGGGAATTTTTTTTTTTTTTATCTTTCAAGGAATTAGACTTCCATTTCTACCTTTTATTATATGATACATTTCAAAGTATTAAAAAATGTGAAAAATTTACAAGTCTAATATGAAATATTTGCTAGTTTTTAAAGAGATGATGAAAATAAGTTGATTTAAAAAAGCCGATTTAGATTATTTAGATTGAAAAGATTCTTTATATAGGTATAATCCATTAAATAAATAAGGTTTAAATCCAAAAATCGGTATCACCTTATAAAGCGTTAATATATTAGATTTTAATTTTGAAAAATTTTCGATTATTGTTACACGAGTTATATTTCAAAATTGTTAATTATTAGATTTGTTAGAATTTTTGAAATAGATATTCACCTTTGTGGACCCAGTAAGATCGTCAAGGCATGGCAAGTCTGGTGATTCCCAATGAAAAGAGAGGCACATATATTAATAATGTATTATTCAAATATTTCAACAGATATTTTCTGATGGAACAATACTATTAAGATTGTTACTAGTATTTGTTATTATATCATATTGTACATGTTTCAAATCCAAACACAAAAAAATGAGTTACGCAAAAAAAAATTCTTTACGCGTGCCATGTCAACGAAAGAATCAAAATATTAAGATATATTTTCTGCGTTTCAAAAAAGAAAAAAGAAAAAAAAAAATATTGAATATTTATAATAATTTTGCAAGTATAAATTACTAATATAAAAAGATTACCGGTTAAAATAACCGCCGCTTTTCCCGATTTTAGAGCCGACTTAATGATAAGTTCAAAGAACATCCTAAATTTGATGGTTTACACCTGGAATGTTAGGATATCATGAAAATACTTAAAATATACCGAAAAATGGCAACAAGTATCAATATATAAAGAACACAAGAGATTAGTAATTAATTTAATCAAGATTTACCGATAACGTTTAAGAATCGTTAAACATTGTTATCTTATTTTAACGCGAACTTAAAACGAAATAACTAAACCAAGTTAAAAAGTCAAAAGACAATCACGGAAACTTTACTGAATATGACAATGTGCGTTTATAAAAATAGCCCATTATAGGGTTTATCTTTGTCCGGGAATTAAAATAATTAAAATTTGCATGATTATTTTGAACTTTGCATAATTCATGTGATAAATATGTAATATGATTGGCTGTTTACTGCATGCATGCTCAGGCTATGTGTTATAGCAAGTTATTACTTAATTTCGGAATTTAGAATCTTCTAATGCTATATAATATATAAATTATTACCATATAAGTATATACGTATACATATTCTTTGTTGTGAAAGACAATTTGGAATTTTTTCGCATCAGAAATGAACACATTCTAGAAAGACACCGTTTTAAGCTATCTCTTGGGCGAACAAAGCATTTTATAGTCAATAGTTGTGGATAATATCTCTCCTTACAAAGTAGGTTATTTTTATTTAAAAGAATAATTAATATTAAAAATAGGATAATTCTATTTTTTGCATTATAAGCCTTATTCTCTTTATTCTTAGTATTGACACTTTATAAGGTAATTATTTACTTTAAATGCCCAATTTTTAAACCTTATTTTGTATACTATACTAAATAAATGCTCATTAAATATATATTAATAAAAAATACTACAAGTTTTGAATGCCTTAAAATTATTTTAATATTATTAATAATAACAATTAAAAACAATTACAACAATGAAATATTTATGAACGAACAAGTAATTAAAATATTAATTGTATATGCATTTGTATCTTATTGATTGATAGCAAATTCGATCTCATCTAACATTTACTATAAGTATTTAACGTGGCATTTGTTGTTATATTAAAAAAAAAAAAACATTTGCATGTGTCACATTCAAAAAAGATCATCGGGTTCTAAAAGAAAAATATCCCTCAGTTAAAACAAAAATTGAAGGGTGTAACATATTGGCTACTTATGAAACGTTGAATCAAAGGAATCTAGTTTAGTCATAATAGTAAGGATCAACAAGATTAATACGCGCGCGTAAGCGCAGTAAACATTTCATTGTGGCGTTTCTTTTATCGGTTGATCATTTTTTTGGTGATCCGGAATAAAGATATAAAAAGATAGCCGATTCATATTAATCACGATAGTTTCGTTCTTGATCCACGCGTAATATTTACGCATTTATTTATCGTGTAAATCACTTTCCTTTTTTCATATTTAAAACCAATAATAGTATTTTAAAAATAAATATATTACACGGGTCGGAATTTTCCGAGTTACGTAAGTTATGTATTCCCAATATTCCACAAATCAATTCCTTTAAATAAAAGACGCAAAATTTAAACTATAAAGAAATCATTGTCTTAATTCTTACATTTTATTGATAAATAATCAAACTAAAAATGTTATTATTATCATTATCCGTTATTTTAAAAAAAAATATTCCCTTCTTTCTTATTCGCTTATGTATTAGCTCTTTAAACCTTTTTTTGGTTCTATTTTTTATTTATTTATTTTCATTTTTGTGTTATTTATTCGTCTAATCGTTTGAAAGAAAAAAAAAACACGTAAAAAATTTTACAAATTTAACTAAAATAAATAAATATAGAAAATATATAATTACCATGAAACGCGATCTCATTTAGTGATGTTAATACAATGTCTAATAACGTAGTATTAGAATGAACATTAGAACTTTTTAAAACATCTAGAATTTTATTATGATATAATGTATCAATATCGACATGTTTGCATGGTTCACGTTTAATCTACGTCAGCTGATTTAAGATACCCCATTTTGCTATAATTACAAATTTGATCACAAACACGACATAATAAAGATTCGTTCCTTTAGTCACCAACCCTTAGGACCGCGCAATTTTTTGTTAAAAACTTTCCCCGTTTCATATTTCACGTTATTAAAACTTTTTTGAAATATGACTTCTGAAGTACAGAATCATATTGAAATTTCTGAACCTGACCTCAGCTCTCAAATTTATAAAGCAACTTATTCAGGAGTTCCAGTTTGGGAGTTTCGGTAAGTGCGAAAATATTTCATCAGTGTTCGCTTACTATTTAAAACTTTGACGCCTTAAATTTATGACCAAACATATTTCTGATATTTAAAATATTGTAATTATTGTATTTATGAACTTATTACTTTCTAGTGTTAAAAATGTAGCCGTTATGCGACGTAAAACTGATTCATGGCTCAACGCTACTCAAATTTTAAAAGTTGCGGATTTTGATAAGCCTCATCGAACTAGGATTTTGGAACGTGAAGTACAGAAAGGGGAACACGAAAAAGTTCAGGGAGGATATGGAAAATATCAAGGTTAGTAATACCTTTTATTATAGAATGTTCTTACATATGAACAAAATTCTCCTATAAGCTTTATATAGATCTTAAATATTATGATTTTCTTTTTTTTTCATTTATTATTTATATAAGTCAAACTTGTAAATCACGGATATATAAAAAAAACAAATGAAAATTATTTTATCACGTATATTATAATATAAAAAAATGATTTTTTTTTGGTCATTTTTCATTAATTATTTTATATATGTATATATTTTAAAAAAATATGAAATACGATAAAATGAATATTAATAAATGTATCCCTTAATAATATATTGTTTTTAATCTTTTCTTTTTTAATATAGGTACTTGGGTTCCATATGAGACAGGTGTGGATTTAGCGGAAAGATATCATGTTAAAGAACTTTTGCAGCCTATAATTGAATTTCAACCAACTTCAGAAAGTCCACCTCTTGCACCCAAACACATAACTGCCGCGTCCAATAAACCGCGTAAACCACGTGAACCTAAAGAGCCTAAACCAATTAAACCTAGACCGCCTAAAAAGACAAAAAAAGTCGAGCCAATAGAAGATGTCATGGAAGTTGATTCTGATCATGAAACAAATGAAATAGTCAGTGTTGAATCTAATACCAACGTGACTGTTTCCCCAATATCCTCTTTAACAACTACTCCCGCTCCAGTAGATTCTTCAAATGATTTAACAGAATCGGATGATGCCATTCCCGTTCAAAAAACAAAGCGAAAGCGTAAACAACCTGAACCTGCTACCGCGTCAAATAATAATACTAATGCGCCTAATCGTCCATCTAAAATAGCTAAGAATGTCACGACTGCCCCAGTTCAACAATATCAACAATATGAAATGCTTTTATGGTCATATTTTACAACGAATGGGACTTCAATACCGGATTTTATTCTCAATCCTCCTTCAGATTTTGATCCAAACATAGTAATTGATCAACAAGGACATACAGCACTTCATTGGGCTGCTGCGATGGCAAATCTTGAAATGACTCATCTTTTAAGCAAAGCTGGTTCAGATCTCGATCGTGGCAACATTCATGGGGAAACTGCTCTGATGAGGAGTGTTATGTTTCCATACAATTTTGATAACAAGTGTTTTAGTGATATGGTACAAATTTTGCATACGACGATACCAAATCTAGACATAAATGATCAGACTGTATTACACCATGTTGCAATATTTGCTTCCTCAAAAGGACGTATAGCTCCTTCTAAATATTATATGGAGATTTTGCTTTCAAATTTAGCTTTACATCCTAATGAAGAATATCGTAAAGCCATAATTAATAAGCAAAATCATGAAGGAGACACCGCTCTAAATATTTCTGCAAAATTTGCTAATAAAAAATTAGTTCGATTTCTCATGGATGCTGGAGCAGATCCTCAAATTCGGAACGCGATAGGTAAAAATGCTGAAGATTATATAGTAGAGTTGGATCATGAAGCCAAATCTCGAGCAGCGGCCGCAGCCGCTGAACATCATCATCAGGTTCAATTACATAATATTCCGCCAGTAAGTAGCATAGAAAGCCAAGAACCTCCTGTCACAACAATAACAGCTGGAGAAACGCCAGTTACATCATCAACGGGTGTTCAAATTTCGCAAAACTTTATTCCAAGTATTACTTCGATTTTGCAGGAGTTTGAAAATTCATATCAATTACAAATACAAGAAAAGGAACGAGAATTATCGGCTTCTCGCGCACGATTAGATAATGTCAATAACGATCTAAACAAAACTAGAAGTGTTATTGACGCGTTGAAAGACAAATACCGCGTTCTCCCTGCACGGAAAGAACGAATAAATGATTTATTCGGCATGGTGAAAGATAATGTGGAAAAGCGAAGGCAGCACCGACTTGACGCTACTATTTTAGAAGAGATGAAGAATGTTGCGCCTTTTCAAGGTGGCAATGCCGAAAAGTAAGAAAAATAATGATTTATATAATATTTATTTTTTATTGATCTCAAAATTTATTTTATAATTGTCTCTAATTAGATTAGCGGAGCTCAGGCATCAACTAGAAGAACTTAAATCTGGTAGACGACATTTGATAGGAGAATTAGTTAAGGTTAAGACTATGGCTCCTGATCGAAATATGACCCCATATAAGAGGGTTATTGGCTTGTTTAGTGGAGACTCTGGAACGTCTTCTGCTCCTCCTCAGATGGAAATGTCTATCTGATGGTTTGGAATTTTTTTTTTTAAAAAAAAGAAAAGAAAAAAAAAAAAATTAAAATTAAAATTAAAACATTACTAAAAAAATATAGATATCAACGTGCATATGCAAATAATAATAATAAAAGGAGTGATTTGGGAAAAGTGTTTGTGCACGTAAAAATTCTTTCATTTTATGTTATGTAAATATAATGAACATTCTTCAGGAAGATTAATAAATATTATATTATTTAAATTCACGGTATTTTTAATTTTTTAATTAATTATATTATATTGTCTTAATTGTTATTTAACGCGTCCTATATGAAATGATATCATTAGTTTGATATCATTTTATATTCTTCTACGCTTTAACGCGTCTAGTTTTGTTTTAAATTTTCTAATCTCATTATTTAAATTGTCTAATCTCGCATCATTCAATTAAATTTTAATTGCTTGAATCATAAATTTTCTCTAATTCCAAAGAGATTTTAAACATCATTCCATATATATATATATGGGTATATGAACAAATTGATTAACTTTATATTACATTATTGGAGATAGTTGTTAAAAATCTTTAAGCAGGAGCACCATAAGCTTCTGGTAATCTTTCTATTGTATATCTTCTTTTTGAAATATACATGATTGGGATACCGGGAATCTTACGAATGCGGCGCTTCAAATCTCGATCACACGTTGCCACTATGTAACATTTATGCTATAAAAATAAAACGAATTTTTTTAGTTGGACTAAATCAAGTGGTTCAAAAAATGAAATAATTGGTGATTTTGATAATTACTTGAGATACACGCTGTACAAGGCAGTCATCAGCATATGTTCCCTTATGCATACACGGTAATCTTTCAAATCTTGGATCACGAGCAACCCTGGTTTTAGGAACAAAAAAAAATAAGTATAACTTTACATCAAATTTTTTTATATCATATATGTTTTTGACAAAAATATACCTCAATGCGATTCTATATTTTGGCCCTAATTTCTCTAATTCTGCCATTACACAATCAGTGATACATGGGATACCTATCGTTAAAACGAAGGGTGTCAATGAGATAAAAATTGTTTCCAAAAAAGATCAATATAATACATATAATACATACATTTGGCATATAAGCAGTCCATCATCGACCGTACAAGTTCCAGCTTATTTTGAATTGAGAAATTAATAAAATTTGTATCCACCATTACTCGATAAGGTGGACCAAGTGCTGTATTATATCTAAAGAATAACGACGAAGCTACCTGCGGTCTTTAATAAAAAATTAAGTGAACATGTGAACATATGATATTTTGACTTGACATTTGAAATCATGTGGATAATTTTTTTTCTTACACATTACGAACAGATTCTTTAGTTTTTTCTTCCTGTCTCTTCTTTTGTTTTTCTTGTATAGATTTACTGATTTAATTTAAATAAACAAAGATAATTTATCTGTTAATGTTTATGTACGCAAATATTTAATCTTTTCAAATAAATTATATACTAACAGTCTTGAATCGGCCGGATTTATCAATCGTTTTACTTCGGCAAATTTTCTCGTTTTCTTTGCTTTCCCCTAATTATATTAATATAATTTTTAATTTTTAGATCAACAATAAATTTGAGATGTAGTATCTTACCATTTTTTTTTCTCTTTGGCGAATTTCAAAGTATGGATCAGTTAAAAATTATGAGATTGTGTAACTGTAACACTCAATAAGTTTCGTCACGTGAGAATGAACTTTGCGATTGTAATGTACTTTTTCGAAACTTTTTAATAACTAATAACTGACTTATTGCTGTACTTGGTGGAGGAAGGCACGCAATATGACGTATGATAAGCTCGTTCTTTGTCCCGTAGCCGTAGAGCGCTTTTAAATTCCTAGGAGAACATGAATATAAGACTTGAAAGACAACTTTAGCTAGGATGGTGTTGATATTGAAAACTTTGTAAATGAAATGAGAAGAATTCATAATAAAAATTGGTGGTTGAAAGCACGTTAAATGGTCAAAAAAAAGAGAAGAATTTGGTTAATAGTAATTAGAATCCAAAGAAACTGGATATAATGAACTTGTATGATGTTTCTGCGAATTTCAATAATTTAGGTGAAACTTTTGGAAAACAATTAGATTTCTATTTAAGGAATAACGTGTATTGTCAGTATATACGTGTAAAAATAGAGGATAAATAATATACACGTCAAATCCAGCCAAAATTATGAATTATACTGTATATATGCTAAGAAAGTTCTCTGTTCTTTTGCCGGTCAAACACAAGATCAAAGGAAGCAATAATGAATATTTATTTGGGTGAATACATTATGAATCTAGATAAATTACTTGAGTAAATAAATATTTTATCTTGGGATTTGGACTGCTACACGGCTCTCTATAAAAGATCTATATACTGTATCATAAATTTTTTTTTAAAAAAATTGAAAGTCTACGTCAGCAGAATTTCAACGAATATCACGTGCCACGTGGCGGTTAGAATTGTCTACGTAATTGTTATTACACCTATTTTAGTAATTATTAATATATTAATGTAGCACTGCGAAATATTTTCGTGTCCTAATTTCCTTGGGTACTTTCGTGTTTTTTAGGATTGAGTTGTCGAAAGTACAAAAGTATCTATCTTTATTACATTAATGAGATTTTAAAATGGAGCAAAATAATAGCGGTATCGTTGAACAAAATAATGAATATAAAGAGTTCGTTGAAAAGATATACACTAAGCAGGCTGATAGCTGCATTTATAACCAACAGTCACTAGCAGGTAATATTTTCGCTTAAATGTTTATGTTCTATTTTAAGAACAATGTATGCGTATAATTACTAAATACAGAATGTGGATTGTACATTCAAGACGATAACGCGATTCTTCAAACCGTGCAATGTAGTTCACAGATTCAACCTGTAAATTTCAGTACTTCTTTAGTATCAAATCAAGAGAATCAAGAATATGCTGCTACTACACAGATACTCAATGTACAGCAAACCCAATGTGAAACAACACAGACAGATATGACAGATATTAAAATTGAACCAGTTGAATCACCAGAGTCAATTAGCCCACAATGGATCATGTCGGCTCCCTTGAAGTATCAGGCTAATTATTTATCTGTTGGGTCAATTTCGAGTCCTTACCATTCCCAGGTTATAACAGCAGCAGCTCCAAAGATATCAGAAATTCAGGAAAACGAAATGATTAATACACCAAAATCAAATGTTACGGTGTGTACAGAAAATTTAAAACCCATCGAACTAACAAAAAGTACGTCCTATATTATAAGTTATACATATATACGAAAACAACGTTAATTTTTTGTATTTATTGACAGGTTCGCCGTCAAAATTTCGTGCAGTAGAATTCGTTTTAAATAATCTCGGTAAAAATTATTTATTCTCAGAAATGAATTTATTTTCGTGGCCAACATTCTAACATATCATTTTTATAAGACTCAGTACCTGGTGAAGAAAAATTTTATGGTTGGAGTGATAAAGCAAAGGATTTTGCAAATACTCAATTGTCGAAAGAGTCGCATGAAAGTGTTTATGCGCAAAAAATTAATTCAAATGTAAAAAATTCAAACAATTCTCAATCGACATCAGTTGTTATGGCTGAACAAACTGATCTGTCACATGTTGGACCATCAAAAAGAAAATCTGATAAATCCTCCTCAAAGAGAAAGAATAAAGTCCTGAAAAATACTAATTGGGCTGCAGAAAAGGATCGTACTTTGAAAACATATTCAAATAATTTGATGAGAAAGAAACCAAAATCCTGGCAGCCTCAAGAGCATTGCTGATGAGGATCTGTCTTCATATATTTAATTTATTTTGGATAAATTATGGTATGTATATATTTTTGATCCGTCGATACAATACAGTTTATATAACGTATTGCACGAACGTTTAATTTATTTAAAAATATATTAATTAATTATTATATTGAAATAAATATTCCAGTTTTTTTTTTTTTTTTTTTGCATTATAGAAGATTTTATAGATTTTATGTATTTAATTCAATATATTTTACATATTAATATTTTATTATCATATATATATAACATCATCAATTTCAATTATGCATTAAACTATATTGGCAATTAAATTATAATTTATACTTAAGATGTTTATCCCTGTGGACGCACTCCAATTGAATCTTGAGAGAGCATCCATTTGAGAAGGAAATTTATCTCATGTTTCAACTATTACTCGGTATGTTCCTCAATTATGAGATTGTTCAAACTATAACAAAATAATGATTCCCGTCTTATTTTCTTTTTTTTCAATAAATAATCCGGTTGATCAAGCCGTTGCCTTTCGATTCCATACTTGCTATAGGAACAGACGTCATGCTAACGGAAAATGGTTAGGAGTTATCAATGGCCTTTCGGTCGTAGAATTTTATATTGAAGAGAATATCGGTGAGAGAGAACCACGAGATTATATTGCTAGTCAAACACCGTTATCTGTTCAACAAAACCAACGCAATCAATCAAAACATGCGCAGTGTGAGCGAGGATTCATTAAATATGAACCATGCAACTGTAGATCCTATTATGTTGAAGAAAACTACTTCGGAGAAATATTGTCTAGCATTACTTGTACCCACGGGTCGAAACAACAATACAATCCGATCTTTGTACGTTCCATTTGGGTGTGATATCAGTACAGTTTAACAAATATATATTTAGTCCTAAAAATTTACTATTAAAGATTTTTGGATTTTGTGATACATACATGTCGATTCGAATCAATTGCCGGATGAATTTACTCTCATTACGATTTTTCAACTAAAAAACGATTCTTTTTTTAAAATGCAATTTTTATAATTATTTATATTATTTTACTTTATAAACAGGGATATTAAATAAATTATATTTATTAATTAATGACTTTAAGTGCTTAATAGTTTATTAAAAAGATGCGACTTCAATACCAATACCAATGGCTATGACTATGTCCTGAATATTTTGAAATGATTCCTTGAGTTCAGTTCTTTGTATTCGTACTTTCTTTAACCCATCTGACAAAAGTTTACATTGTTTGAGATTGTGACGTATTTGGATGCGTCTTTAGGTCCAACTTGTTGAAAAGTCCCTTACTTGTTGCCGATGGATGATAATATATTAAATGTTAGTTTTACAGTGAAATTCGATATCCCAGAACCTCGATATAACGGATCATAAGTAAAATCTTGATATATCGGAACTTGGGTCTGGAACGGATTATCATAATCTATAATTAATTTACCCTTGATATATCAAATTTCTTGATATACGGATTTTACTAGTGGAACGGATGGTTCCATTATATCGAATTTCATTATGTATATACAAACTTGTAGAATTTTTTTTTTTGAATCACTTATTAGTGGATTATGCAACCCAAAGTCCACTATCCAAATCGTTTAGCAGAATAATATGCATAATTTAATTCTAAATCAATAGGTTCCTGATTCAAGATTTTTTAAGAATTATATGATGATGACTATTAGTAAATGCTTGTGCATTGTTTCTACCTAGTCTCGTTTTTTTTTTTGAAGAAGACATAAAAAGTGTCCACTCTAAAATTTCATAATTATTTTTAGAATAAATTTATAAAGCGTAGCAATCGATGGTAAATGAACCCATTGTGATATCCATTTAGTAAAATATTCGAAGACCTCAATTATTCCTTTTTCTAAATTTAAAGAGTTTCCCAATTCATCATTTGATATTGAATTTATAGCATTCAATAATTCATTAGAAAAAGATTGTTTTAATCCATTCTTGAATTGTCTGATGCTAACCAATTGATCATTGTATAATTTGTGACTTTAACCTAACGAGATCCAAGTGGTAATTGTATTTGAATCTAAATCAATCATCATATAAATTACGAATAATATTTAATGGTTTGTCTTTATCACTAGTATCATAACTGTCATGAAATTCAACTGAATCTTGTCCAATTAAAACTGTATTAAGGACTATTTTTTTGTCTAATTTAGCATCATTAATCCAATCATTTAAGTCTTACCATTTTACTAATAAATCAATAAGCAAATTGAATCGATATTACTTTACATACAGTTCACCTTAACGAGATCTAAGTGGTAATTGGTATTTAATCCAAATCAATCATCATATAAATTACGAATAATATTAGCATTAATATTTAATGGTTTATCATTAGTATTGTAACCGTCATGCCAATTATAGGGATGTGATAGTTTTGTATTATTCGAAAGCTTCTGTTTCAAATGATTTAATACAATTTGTACAATATGTAAGGTACAATCAACTCACAATATATTTAAACCCATTTTTTTTATTGAAAAGAACAATAACACCTTTTTCATCACCTGAAAGAGATGTTGTAATATCTGAGGGACACTTCTTAATGTCTAAACCATCCTGCGATTTGGGATATTTGAGAGCTGATATAAACGTTAGAGGTATCTTGATGGCATGTGCGTAATGTGAAAGTAGATAGCCAATTGCGAGTTACCTCTCCAATCAAATAAGTTAATTTGAGAACCATATATATATGTATATATATACATTCAACTGACGATTGACCTATTTGATAAATACTGATAACAAGCCAAACAGTATTTTTGAAATGTACTCGCGTTCATTTATTTTAAAAATAGATTTGATTTTTCTTTAAAAGTAACATCAGAAATATTTTGTGATTATCGAATTAAAGACCGAATTTCAGATACATGCTTTGATTTACGAAGATGACGTGAGCAAACACAAAGTGATTGTGTACGATGAATGAGATGTTCCATCTTGTTTTTGTTGAAAGTTGGCATTTATAAAGACTTTGTGATATATGCTATTTTGAAATAAGTTTTCCTTTATTTGGACCTTTAGAGTAACGCATAATTGTAATGATTTGATGCTAAAACTACTACTTCAGATAGTTGTTGAACTCCGAAGAAATTAATTTAATTTGTTTTTACTTAATTTTGACAGATTTGTTATCAGATCTAAAAATCTTGACTCACCCATTTCATTTATAAAACTCTATTGATTTTTATTTTTTTGTCATCTTTTTCATCTCCAACTTTTATTCAATTGACGGGCACGACTTTGAACCTAAATTTTTTTTAAGTCTAACAACTTGGTTTAAGTTATCATTCAATACATTATAGCCTAAAAAGCAATGAGACACTTCGTTTTCTTGAAAAATACAAAAGAAAAATTGTTTTTATTTAGAGAGCTGTATCCAAAAGACTTTATTTATTGTTTCTTAAAATATAAATGATACTTTTTGTTGAAAAAAACGAACTGTACATGAAGAGACAATAATTTTAGAATATTTTTGTAAGATTTGAAGTGAAAATAATAGGAAAGGCATAATATTATTAAAGTTCAAATTTAGTGAATGATTGTATCAGAATTTCGGAATTACAAAAAAAATCTTTGATAGTAAAAACATTCCATCGGAATTAGAAGCAGAACCTTCCGCATCCCACAAGAGAACGACGCCCGCGAAGGTCTTATCAGATAAGCACTTTCGAAAAAAAAGGTTTTACGATTATGATGTGAAACACACTCATGCAAGCTCCTGAAATTGCTACCAAAGAAACAATAGAAACAATTCATTTTTCGTGATCAATTAATCAGAAATTGATTAGATCAGTAATTAATTTGTTGGCCTCGAAAATAAATCGGACGGCTTTTCACATGCAAAAGAAAAACGTTCGAGAAACATATGAATCATTTCAAAAAAGGAGATCTTAATTGTTACATAATTATTGCATTATTAAACAAACAATAATAAAAACAAACAACAAACAAAAGCAAAAAAAAATGTACTGGCGGACATGCATGATAAGGCGTGATTCGTAAATAATTTTTTTTCTTTGCAGGTGCCGAACACGAATTGATACCGGCATATTGATTATTTAAACGGTAAATTTTCTAAAAAAATTAAATAAAAAGAATTTTTTAATATCAAAAAAAAAAAAATGATCTCAAAACATAAAAAACATAAACACACAGCTATTACAGCTATTACAGCTATTGCTATAGCTAATTACTCTTCAAATATCATAAAAGATATTAATTTTAAAATTTCAAAAAGAAATTTATTTAATGATCAAAATTGATCAATAATTTTAAAAATAAAAAAATTATTTTTAAGAACCATTAAACAACTGTTTTGCAAATGGTATTAAACCATTTGCAAAACAATTGTTTAACAGTTGTTTAATGGTTCTTCTTTTTATTAAATACAACTTCTTTATAGATCCCTTTTTTGGATAGGTATTAAAAAATTTTATAAGTTCAGAGAACCTCTATTGATTGATTATTCCCATTATCTCATAAATTTTCCTTCTTTTAAAAACAAATTCTATTATCAAAAATAACTCTTGTCTTTTTTTTTAAACAAATTCCAATAGTGATTTTTCATACAATAGATTTTATCGTTTTTTTTCTTGAATGTAATTTCAGTTTTTTTTTTGATATAATAAACGATTTTTTTAACTTGTCAATACCATGTGGATAATTTTGTCTAACTAATTTTGGATTATCGCATACTGTCAAAGTATCACGTACTGTTTAATTACGTATCTGTGTAGCAACAAAATAAGGTTGTTGCACAAAAAAAATTGAATGATGTTAATTAATTGGTCGTGTAATATTATAAAAGATAATCCCCTCCCAAAGTATTAAATTAAAGTGTACAATTCCAGCCTTTTCATATGAATTTTCAAACTTTGTAGTTTGTACATGTGTAACATTTCAAAAATTTCGCCGTCCATTGATTGATTTCCTTATAATATTCCGTATTTCTTTTGAATTGATTTTTTTTGCAATTAAAAATTCGTCTACTTAACTTAAATTAAAGTTCTTATTTTGGGCTGATAAAATAAACAATTTATAGTTTCTTCTTTTTAAATATCTTAGCATTCGCCAATTGAAATGTTAAATGAATTTAAGTTAACGTTTCAATCCTTTATGAAATAAAATTATCGAATCAGAAATATTCAGTAAAGCACAATTATATATCATTGGTTAGGGATCAAATTTTATCTTGAACCTAATCCCTATAAAAACTTTGTTCCGTGTTTTTTTTATTCCATGTTATTCCCGTTAAAATGTATCACATTCACGGAATTAATAGCCTCAAGACAAATAGATAAAATATAATAACAAATTCATTCGTAACTATTAAAGAGTATAAATTCCAAAAAAAAAATGCAGTGAATGCAGTGATCATAGTTGTGCTACGTTGCAAATGTCAAAATTAAAAAATCATATGAAAAAGTGACATTTTTAGCTTCTTCTCTTTGGCAAATTTTGATACGTTGTAGTTTTTCAGAAGAAAATGGGCTAAAAAAGGTATTTCCGAGCGAATAAACTCACGAAATCATCACGAATGAAAGTCCTGCAGCATATTCCTTTTTCCCATTGCCTTTTGCAATGTTAAACCATCAGCACTGCAATAGGAAGTGATGGTTTTCTTCAAATAAAATTTCTTGAATAGTACCCACTGAACCATTGACCAAACCGGCTTCTGTCCACAAGTTAGATCTGAGCATAACCCTCGCACCTCTTGCCAACAATAATTGAGTCTCAAGTCCTTTTTCCTAAGTCTGAATCAACATTACGTGCCTCATTACCGCCTGTATAAACTGCATTGATTCTGGTAACAAGGCAATTTAGCATTCTAAGCTTATTAATGTTAAATTGTCGACATCGGACTCTCCGAATGTAATACAGTTGGTGCATCAGCAAATCGCGTGGAAAAGACTTTCCTGTCATATATCGCATTACGCAACCTCAAATAATATGGCTCTACTCGCATACTTGGATATGTACTGTAGAACAGTTGTTCATACTGAGAATCGATCTCAATTCAACGTTTGCGCGTCAATCTTGAAGTTGCAGCCGGACATGTGGGTTTACGAACGGATCGTTCCTTACTGTTACTAATTCGAGTTTTTCGTTATCATCGCGATCATCGCATATGTAAGTATTTTCTATGACTTCCTTCGGATAGCCAAATCTGCAACACGAAGACAATACGACGGATTGCATCGTGTATTGTAGGCATCGCGCAACTCTTCAGGACAGTTTTTGACAAGGGTGGCTATATATAAATATGAGATAACTGACCAAAATGACGATCATGTTAAATCCATATGAACTCTCAAGGATAACTGATATTAATCACATTAAAAAATTTCAAAAATTTTTTTTTTTAAATTTAAAAACATAAAAGTTTAAAAGCATGAAATCAATATTTTTTATACTTTAAAGTATATAAACTGTCTCTTATACACATCTAGATGTGTATAAGAGACAGAGTTAAAATTATTTACATATTCTAGAGTTACGATCCGGATGAATTCGAAAGGGCACATTTTGGTAATTATACACGGATTTTAATTAATAAAGATTAAATTTTTTTTTTTATATATCTATATTATAAGACTGGCATCCCAATGCACAATCTAGTAGTTTAAAAAATTACTATTTAATATTAAAAAAAAGAGAAAATAAAAAATGGATTGATTTTTCATCCGATCAATCCGTTTTAATTTTCTCTCTACTTTTATTTTTGAAGACAATTGTTTTTTTATTATATTATGTATTGATAGATGATCATAAGATATCTAAAAAAAAAAATTTCTTTTTATTGACTTAATATTCATAAAATGGCTGAAATGTGTTTATTTACGGATTATTTATTATCTATTTATTTGTGAATATTGTATTAAACTATTATTTTATTTTTTATATACACAATTAATTATATATATATGAAATATTTTAGTTATAAAATTACAAAACTTTGAAATTTTTTATATTGTAATTTGTAACTATTCTTTAAAAATTATTCTTTAAAAATTAGAGAACCTATTGTATTTATTGGAAGAAGGTTATATAATAAACCTATTTAATGCAATAAATTTATTATAATTAAACTTGATTAATCAAGTAATTTGCTCATTAAAATTTTTTATTACCTGCATCTTGTAAACTGATATTATTAAATCTATTACAATATAAATAAATTAATCTTTTCATTAATATTGATTAAAATAAAAAGAAATTTTCAATTAAAACTTACAATATAAGAATTCATAACGTTTTCATCTATCATCATATTACTTTCTATTTCTTCTATTTCATCCAAATTTAAATCTATATTTATTCCATCAATATTCATTTCCTCAAACTTTGTTTCTTCCAACTTAGTCTCTTCCAATTTTGTCTCTTCTATTTTTATCTCCTCAACATTCTGTGGTTTTAATAAACTATTTAATAAATGATTAATTAACATTGGAATATCTTGATATGTTTGTAATACTCCAGTTAATTCTTCATTCAAATTACTAATATCACCAAAACCAGTTGCATAGCATAATAGAGAATCTTCGTGTAAAATAGTAACGCTTAAATGAATAGTAATTTGTGGAGATATAATCTTTGAAGGTAGTTGAATATCCAATGATAATCCAGTAGGTGAATTAATTGTTTGAACTTTTATCTGTATTTTTGCTAAAATTTGTTATTCGAATTTTGTGATTAAAAGTGATTAAAGAAAATTCGTTTAAAAATGACATTTTATTTACATCAAATGAAAAGTAAAAAATAATAAAAAAAGTTCGTTTTTATTAATGATTTGAGAGTATTTAAAATAGAATGGAGCTTTTTTAACAACGTTACTAACCTTCTGCATCTTCTGCATCTGGCGAAATCTTTTCAGCATGATCATGTTTAGATGGTCTTGTTATTGTTATTTGTTTGTAAGTTGAAGAATTAAAACAACTTTGATATAGTTTATTAAAAAGAAGCTGTTGTCTTAATATCTAATAATTTGGAAGAAACGGATAATTAAATTGAATTCATTCATTTTATATAACATTGGATAACTAATATGCAAGAAAATAAACCTTAATGAGCCCATATACTTGAAATAGATTGGAAAATGGAATACGATCAATCCTTCTTGCCTTTGTATTACATTTACTGTCTAAATTGAATACTTGAAGATATAGCGAATCATCGAATTTCTAATAATTCGCAATATCAAATATTCATGAATAAAAATGAGATTAATTCTAAAATTTACCCAAAGAAAAAAAACTCCACCTTTTCCCATTGGTGAATTATCTTTGGAGCTCGAGATGTAGAACTATGCTTTATAGGAGGGATAATTCCTTCTATCTGTTAATTAAAAAGAATAATAATTAGACTAATCTTGACTACAAAGGTTATGTAAGTAAATTATCAGACATTTACTAATTGGTGATTTATGTTAGTACAACCAGTTACTAAGTTGTATAAAAAATACCTATTACGTAAGCCTGATAAAACAGTTACTCGGCACAACGCGACCTCGTAACTGCGGCACTATCGTGCCTTACAATAAGAATACGATCAGTGAAATTTGCTGAGCTGCGCTCAGTAAATCCCACCAATCATATTGCTTATTGCAAATACAACAGTTGCTCGGCACTTTGTGCCGAGTAACTATTAATTACTCACCAACAGTTGCTCTAATGATAAAGTTTGAGGATCTTTTTTTTGAAACGCGCTGCTTACAAAATATCCTGTTAACAAATTAATATAAAAGTAAATGAATAAATAAATGAATAAATAAAACTATTTTAATAAACTTATAAAATTGTTCAAATTTAATTACCTCTATTGACAATACCAGCATAACTTCCAATATGTCTAGCTACGTTATCAGAAACATATACCGGTGGATCAAGCCAAACGACAAATTCTATAAGTGCGGAAGCAAAAATTGTAGAATCTTCCTTTGGATGTAAAAACTTTAAAGGAGCTTGAAGTAAAGAAAATTGCACTTCTGGAAGTTCTGGACTAATATAGTAACTATAAAATTTTTTGTATATTTATATTATTAATTTTACTAAAAAAAAATAAAAATATGCAATATAATAGATGATCTTACTTTTCCATTAATTCAATTTCGTTTTCTAATTCATCATTAAGCAAATATTGATTTCTACCAGGTGGCAAAAATAAGTGTGGTGTTCGAGATTTTTCCATCGAAATCCACATTCGATGAAGAGATCGAAATGACTCATGCATTTCACCTAAATAAATTTAATAAAATTAGCCGAAACCCGAAATAATTTATAACCTTTAGAGATATGTACAGTACCTTGAATTATAATGTCCTTGATGAACTTCCAATCTATTTCCATAATTTGATGTTTAGGAGCCCAATATGCGATCGAAGGACCTACTCGATCAACATTGAACAATGGTATTCCATGACCTTCGGTCAATATTTTTTGAACATCTCCATTTGTAATAGCACTAATAATCATTAGATAAATTTAACATATCCTTTGAAACAGTTATGTCGACAAAAAATTAAATGTAATAAGCTTACAATTCTTTTTCATAAATTGTTTTTATATCATTACTTATGCATTTTATACAATGAAAACAATCAACTGGCTGAATTAATTTCGACATTGTCTCCAATGTTTTTAAAGTTTCAAGATTTTTCTTAAATAAATTAAATTGTTTGAAATCGCTAAAAAAGAAAAAAAAAATTTAACAAAATGAGATTAATTTATGTTAGAAAAAAAAAAGACATTTTAATAAAAAGTAATTAATACCTTAATTGCTGAGTCAATAAATTATTAACCTTTTTAATTTTAAATATAAGTAATATAAATTAATTAATTTGATAACATAAATATACGAAATATTTTGATAAAATAATACACACACGATCATCTTTATCATTTTGACGAGCATCAGTCGCATACGAAACAACAACTTTAATAATTCGATTCAAGATTTCGTCATATTTTATCTACAAGAAATAATCCAATTTGAACAATCAAGTCTTTTTAAAACGTAAAAACGCGTAAAAAGATAAATGGAATAAGACTTACATCTAACACTATAATCGCTCCACTCATCGTCAATACTGTCTCTCCTGGCTCTCCAGTATCATGATATATTAAAAGTCTTTAAAGTAGTGCAAGAAATTAGCAATAAAACAAAACGAATTAAATATATTATAGATAATAAATTTTTGTTATATACCCAAGTTGTTTTCCCAAACTTTCGATCTGTTGTATAATAAATTTAAATGCTGTCGAATTATCATGACATGCATCTAAAGCCAAACTTTTACATGTCTTGATACTATCTTTTAATTCGGCAAGTGAATCAAGACGTTCTGTTTCTTTCTTTTAATTAAATTAAAAAAACAATAATTATTTATATATCTACATTTAATAAAAAAATTTTCTTAAAAAATAAAATAGTTTACTTTGAGTTGATTAATATAATTACTTAATGATTGTTCTGACCCTTGAATTCCAGTCAACATATTATTCTTAAATTGAGTAATTATTTCTCGCATAAGTGTGATTTTTTGTGGAATTTCTTCGAATAACTCATTTAAGTTTACTGGCCCAAATGTATGTACAGCTGTTAACAACAAAGGTAAAAAGTTTTTTTAATAGAATATCGTAAATGTGACCATTAAATATTAATATATAAATACCATTTGCAATCGCAATATTTGTCTGAGATTTATCCGATTTATCCCCTTTATCTCCTTGTCCTTTAGGAAAATTTAAGCCCCATTGCTCCTGTGAATTTTTAATTATACTTTGTAGTTCACGAATTAATGTATGTATTGACTTGGCTTCTGTTTCAGTCATAATAACAATTCTTTCGGAGTTGTGAGTTGGATCGCAAATTGACAGATTGACAGATGATCTTCAAGACCTGGGAGGTAATACAGACTGTAGGATAAACGGACCAAATCTAAAAATATATACAGTCAAGACCTATATCCCGATATCCTATTTGCCCGATTGCCCGATAAATTTTCCACATCAAAGAAAATGGCTAAAAAAGAAGTTTACAGTAAGTATTTTCTGCTATTTCAAGGATTTAGTTTTTTTCATATATAATATAATGTTTCCTTTAATGCATATCAGGAAAAAAGTTAATATTTATTTACAATCAATAATTATAAGAGTGAATGGAGCCTTTCAACAATAAAATCTACATATCTAAGACAGGTGTAATAATTTCTTTTTTAGCATCTTAACTAAATTCATCAATAGATAAGCATAGCTTGGACTTTTTTGTAACCGGTGGAGATGACCTTTCATTATGATCAAGAAAAGTGATGAAGTCATGCAAAAAATTGCAAAGCTTGTCAAAATTGTTTGATGTGAAAAAGAATGAAAGAATCAGTACTCAGTAAAACATTTGGTATGATGTGAAATGACATGAGTAACTTGGGAATCAATATAATGGAAGATCTTGCAAACTTCCTCTATTACCATCCAGAATGAGATGTACCATCAATAAAGACAATGTTGAGTTGACATTGTCGTGGAAATTAGATGTCGTGTAGGGAAAAAATTGGAATAAAGTTGGTAGTTGCGTCTATATATTATAATATGAATAAGAGGAATAACGATACAATTAACTGATTCTAATTAATTTCAAGAGCTGTTTTTGCACATTTGGAGGCATAATGATTTAAGAAATTGATAGACTTCATTATTCATCAAGTTAATTGATATAGATGATGATGATGATATGAATGTAGTTTGAACAGATTATTATAAATGATAAATATGAACCTATTAAAATTGTTATATATCTTTTGCGAATCTAATATTTTTAAAATCATGCTATAAACAAAAAAATAATAATACGGAATCAAAGCGATTTGTTGTGACACCGTAACACCGTGAAAGATCCTCGAGTTAACTTTTTAGGCAAAGGTTCAAAAAGTTTATTGTGATTGTGAGTCGATGAGTCGGTAATCACAATTAATAAAATAAGTTTTTTGAGAATAAAATTGTTACCCTTTATTATAGTGAATTTTTATATAATGAATAACCTGCTATAATGAGAAAAGTTCAAGTACAGATTTTTTTTATATATATTAAATGACCCTCAGTATAGTGAATTTTTTCTCACTATAACGAATTTTAATCTCCAGCCCATGGGATTCACTATAGTGAGGGTGAACTGTACTTAATTTCTCAAAAGAACCTCGTTCTGCCTTTTTCCTATTAACGAATTCTAAAAAAAAAAAAAAACTTAATACAAATATATATATATATTTCATTTTTTGCTTAGCTAATTTTTAAAAAATAAAATATATATATATTATATATATCCATTATTCCATCTACATATAATAACTAAAATAAACAATCATCCTGATCATCAGGATCATAAATCTCAATAAATTTCTTTACTTTAGCCTCCGTAGCCTCACTAATAAATGATGGAATAAATAATTCCGGTAAAGATCTATAAGTAAATCCAATAGATTTTAAATTTCTTTTTGCTTTAGCATATTTGAGAATAACCTCCAAATGTTCATTAGTAAATCCGACACTATAATTTAATATCAATCTTTCTAATGGAGACGAACAATTTAATAAAAATCTCTTTAACGTAAATGCTGATATTTCCAAATCCATATCAAACAATCGTAAAGATTTTGGTAAACAAAATCCCAATTTATCAAATTGATTCCCAAAGCTCAATCTTGAATTTCGAATAATTAAAGACTTAAGTTTCGTAAAAGACGGAATTATTTTGAATAATTTTTGAGTAAAATAATATTTAATTATAAAGATTTTTAAATATGTAATATTTGTACAATAAGATTTCAAAATGTTCAAAATTTCCGGTATAGATTCCACGACAATTTTATCAAAAGTTATCTCCTCAAGATCCATACAGGAATCTTTTAAAATAATTTCAATAACTTTAGGATTAATTGGTACTCGTACCAAAGTAAGTTTTGATAATCGAATTTTAGAATTTAGAACAAAAGGTTCCCAAAATATATTTGGATCATTTGTTCGACAATCGAGAAGTTCCAAAGTTTTTAAATTACTACACATCATTAAACCTTTTGACGATACATCGGTCAAATCTGTATCCTCAAGTCTTATAGAAACTATAGAGTGAGCTTGTGAACTCAAACTATCAACCTAATAAGAGATGAATAAGAGATGAATAAGTAATGAAAGTTAATGATAACAATAAATAAATAAATGAATGAACGAATAAATAAATAAATTAATTAATGAATAATGAATAATACATATTTACCAAACGTAATGTACCACCAGAAAGGGAACAAAATGTAACAGATTGTAATCCATTTTGTTTTTTAATTAAATCTGAAAGGTGGGAATCATTTGGTTTGTGATAATGTAATACATTCAATACAGTTATATTTTTGCAAATTTTTGATAACTGATAATAAAATGTAGGGTTTAAATAATAATTTCCGCAATGAAGTTCTCTAATATTTTTAAAAACATTACGAGATCCACTAGAGAAATTTCTAATATCGGGCATTAAATAACATTTTTCATGGGTAAACCATCTCAAAGTTCGCATATTTTTACATTTTCTTAATAATATTTTAAGGAAATATCTGAAGAAAGGACTCATTTTCAAATTTCTCTTGTGTCCAAAAGAGCGTACCCATTCTTCTGTAGAGGTTTTGAGAGGCCAAAAATCAAATTCATTTAAAAATGAAGGATAAGAAAATAAAGAAGGTTTATATTTAATTTTAATTTTTAATCCATAGTTGTACAAAGAATCTCTTTCCTTATCTGAAAAACATGATATATAAGTACGAATAAGAACTGGAGAACTATGTTCCAAGAAAGCGAAAGGTTCACTCCACAACTTTGGGGTTACTTTTCTGCAAAATAACCGATTTACAAGTAAGAAAGAATAAAGTGTATTTTTGTCATTTATATATTGAATTATTTCATCAAAGCAATCTTCCGTTAGTTTAGAAAACATATTTCAAAAATTAATGAACAATAAAAAAGGAGAGAGAGAAAAAAAGTTCGAATAACGAATTTATGAATGGGTTTCTGGGTACACAAGCATACTTCATTATGACAAATTAGGTAAAGAGTCGTCATACAAAAATAGCCACTGTAGAATAAAACTTTTTCCTTAAAATTTAGTTTCAACTGATCAATTTTTGCAAACTTTTAACAATAAGTATATTATTGTTTTGTTCATGAAAAAATTCTCCTGCATTAAAATATTAAAATTTAAAATAAAATATTCATGATCAAAAATTTCCTTGATGTTTCTATTTGTGGATATTAACGTGTCAAACGAGGACACGAAAACGATCAGAGGCTTATACTATATATAGTAAAAAATTAACCTAAAATTTTCAAATGCGATTGGCTAATAAGGAATATTAAGACTCTTAAAATTTTGAATTAACCATTTTCAGAAGCAACACAAATTAAAATGAAAATAAATTAAATCATGAACTAATGTGGGGAATCCAATCTGATTGGATAGATTCTGAAATCGGAAATGATATCATTATAAAGTCCAAAATGCGCATATATATAGGCAAAGGACATTTTGTGTGACCTTAATGCAGTGTTGGCATTTGGCCGCGGCCAAGATTTTTTTGGCCATTTTGGCCGCGGCCAAACGGCCAAATGGCCAACCCCGGCCAAATGCTAAACGGCTAAAGAAATAACTAGTACCTTGTTGGCATTTGGCCGCGGCCAAAACTTTTTTGGCCATTTTGGCCACGGCCAACCCCGGCCAAACGGCCAATGTTAGAAATAATCCAGTGTTCTAATTACTTAATTACTGAATATGAATATTTCGATTAAATATATGTAAATTACGTGACACAATATTTTCCTAATGCAAAATAATTAAAAGAATGGATTATCGAAAATAATTGAATCGAATCAATTATCCGGACAACCAACTTTTTAAAATTACTTGAGAAATTCATTATTATTAATTATTATAAGCAACTTAAAAAATTGAAGGTTTCATTACAAGCTATTCTAATTCTATGTCCAGAAAGATAACAGAGATGAATTTAAAATTTTTCATCAAATTCTTATTGGAATTGGATAATAATTTTAATTTTCGGTACCCCTACAACTAAGTGTAACCGTATTAATACGAGAAATTCTTTGGACGTGGGGAAATGTTAAAAATAAAGTTCTTTTTATAGTTTGTTAGATATTAAAGTATAAGTTGATCGTATTTTTACAAAATTTACATTTAACTTACCTTATAATGGTTCTATTTTTACTTATCATATCGCGGAAATAAACGGTCTATACACTACATTATTATCAGCAAGGATTTACATAGCTCCTATAAATACTTATCTATTGGTAAATGAATAAGATAAATATGGAACGATCTTAACATAATCGTGATGCTTTGCATTAGATCTTGGAAAATATCAGGTTATAATACATTTTTGGGATAATAATTATGTTAACAGGTTATTAACCAGTTATAAAATTTTTATTTGTAATATCAAAAGTTTGAACTTACCCTTATATAATCTCAAATATTTACTAACCAAAAAATTTAAAACATTTTTTAGGATTTTCCCTAAGGAAAACCGATATGACAAAATTCACGGAAGACCCGACCTTCATTATATTATATTTAGTATTAAAAAAAAACAATTGATTTACCTTGCATAATTAAGAAAAATACCCTTTTAATTATTATGATTGATAAACAAAATTTAAAATTTTCCAGAGTTGGATTCTGCCTCCCGTTTGAAATAAATTTGTGTGTTATAAATTTAATTGAACCCTTTTTTTTTAATTGACGAATTGTATATCAAATTTTTATTTGCGGCAATGTAACTTTAAGCGGATTATCATTTTTTTTAAGTGTTTCATCTTTTTGCATGGTTCACCCCATAATTTTTCAGAATAATTTAAAACTTCTTTGAAATCCGGTACAAAATAAATATTTCTCCCCATAATTAAATTTTCAGAAGTAATGGAACATTTTTATGTCGTATAACGATCTTTCATTGTTAAAATCAAGATAAAGAACAGGTTTGTTAGTGTAATATAAATAAGAAAAAAAAACCTGTTATCCCTAAACAGTTTGAAAATTTTTATTAAAGAGCGCATCCTCGCACTTTTTCGCTAAGGAAAACAAAAAAAAAGAGTCAAAATTATAATATCTCTAGTAATTGTCAAAATGAAGGATATGAACCTTTTATCACGGGTAATAATTATTCCGTTGGTTTACAACAAGCGAGGGATGTAATTCAAGAGCCATTTCTAAATAATCAAGTTCATTATTCTCATTGTAATGTCGTAAATCCTCCTAATAATTGCTTTTACACGTCTGATGATAACAATTTATCAACGCAACATGAAGATGTTAATGCTATTTCAGATCATGATAAACAACAACCCGTATCCCCACATACTCCTCACGCTCAACTTTCTTTTACACAATCCTCGCAATTTTATCCGCAAATCTCTGCTCCTAAACAACGGTTAATCTATAATAATAATGTTATTACCCGACAAGTTCCTCAATTTTCGCATGATGGTTTACATGATTCATCAACCACAAATAACTCTCAAATGAATTGTACCGAATATACTGAACTCTTAAAGATTGAAATTTCTGGAATTGAAATTGTCGTTAGGCAAAAGACTTTACCAAGATTGAATCAAAGTCATTGGGAGACGCAACAACAACAACAACGGGATGAACAACCTCCAGTAAATTTATCAAATCGTACTGAAAGATCTCAGAATCATAGAATGCATCCTTATAATATTCCTAATGAACAAAATCATAGAACTATTAACAGAAATAATTCTAATGTTATTTTTCGACAACAACGTCATCAATATTATTCTATGCGTCAACAAAAAAATAATGTTTCCGAAATTGATCGAACTTCCGTTAATGAAAATACTAATAATATTAATATTACGCAGAATACTCTCGTCAATCAATCCGCTGTCTTTACACGACAACAAACAAATGCTTTTGAGGAATGTAATAATCTTATTAATCAAAATTCGTAAAATTATATTATGAAATATCAATCAATTAATATCACATTCTTTTTAATAATATCATTGATTACATTATTATGATAAATATGAATATGTATATACAGATCATATAATTCCTTGAAATCTTTGATTTATTTTTTATAAAAATTTGTCAATATATGATTTTATTATATAAGTCTTTATTAAAAAATTTCAACTTTTATTATTATTATTGTTAACTATTCATTATTACTGTAATTATTTATATTTATTTTATGTTGTAAGCAAATAAGTTTTAAATTGATATGTATTGTACTAGCGGAATTTCGTAATTCCTTAAGGAGTTCAAAAAATAAAGAAGTATATTACTATTAATACAGATAATTTAATTTTTTATTGGTAAAGGATCGTCAAGAAAAACTTTATTTGATGGATCTAGATTTCTTATAATGAAAACTTCCTAACAGCTTAATCATTCCATTATAAATAATTTAACTTCTTGAATACAAATGCTAATCATTTTCCATTACATTTCTAAATGCATTTACATCCTTCTATTGCATTGTAGTACGAAAACTTATATAATTATGTGGACTGAAAATTTTGGATCCAGTCGTAACAATGGAAATTTTGCAATTCAAAAAAAATCCCCTTTGGACTCTGAGTTATTATATAATAAATAATTAGCATGTGTTTTATTTATTATAATTAATTGGTTAAGAAATTGCTTATTTACATAAAATTAAATTTTGTTTACATCCAAAATATTTACTTTTTTTTTTTTGTGGGTTTTTTTTTGTTTCCCGGAGTAAAATCGGAGGTCCATTATTGTACATATAAGTGTAAATTTATTTTTATCCCCTGCTTAGTGTCCTTCCACAAATATTCCTTTTTGGATGACCCCTAAAAAAAACAACAAATTGTTGATTGATCGCATAATCTGTCTCAGCTATGCATACATCATAACTATATTGAATCACTTTTTACGTTTGGTATTAATTCATATATTGAATATATACAGTATATTGAAAAGATTGTAATACTTCGATTAATCCCGTCATATGATCCAATTTATCTTTTCGGAAAATATATTTCTCCATTTATACTCTATCATTAATTGAATGACACAAACTTGGATTTTGTGATTTATTTTGGTTAGATGTATGATATAAATTAAAAAATATATATATTTAAAGATTTCTTAATAAATTGCATGTTTTTGTAAATCAAAAATTTTCTGTGATGATCGTCAAAATTGATCACGTAATCCAAACTTCGATTTTTTTTTCGAATACACGTGATTAGTATATCGTCACCTGTCAACTATTTCATAGGATATTTTAATGAGGATGTTCATATTTCATAAATTTATAGCTGTTATGCCTGATGACCCCGGAAGACAATTAACTTAACGATTTTCTTTTGTATCGCGCACTAACATGGATTCTTGCCTTCCAGCGTCAATAGATTTTTCTTTTTAGTCATTTTTGATAAATGTAAAATAATCGAAACATTTGAAAAAATTGTTATTATTTGAAAAATCCTTATATTAGTAGTATTGGAAGCATCGGAAGCAGTATCTAATCTTCCTCCAGTAGTACAAAAATTTGATCGGAAGCTTCCAATACACAGATCAATATTTCCAAATCTTCCAATTCAATAAAAAGTCATTGGATGCCTTCTAAGCACGGCACTAAAACACATTTTACCTATAGTTTTGAGAACTTTTGTTCAAGGCCCAATATAATAACTTTTGAAAAAAACATAGTCAAACACCATTTTAACTGTAAGTATAAATTGTAAAATAAAAAAAAAACAATAGAACTTCCATATTCTGCACACAATGACAATAATCTGTGATCCGTACTCTTTTTAACTGCAAAAAAAAATTCAAAATTTCAGAATTAAAGCAATTTTTCACAAAGTGCTAAATTGAGTGCTGATTTATCTGCCAAATCTGCAATCTTTTTACTGTTTTAGAATAATAGTTGATAATATTTCTGATATTTTCTTTTCTACATCTTTTTATGTTCAAAATAAAAATAAAACTAAATACTAGAGTAAGTTCAGAAAAAGCAATATGGTTTTAACAGCTTTTATAGTTAACACTGGAATTTAATATAAATAAAAATAAGCGGTTATATAAAACAAAAAAATATTTAAAAATATGGAAAATAACTAAATATTATTTTATTCAGTTTAATAAAGTAAGCAATAAAAAAAAAACATACATATAAAGTCAACTCCCTCTAAGTGCACCCCCTTGGGTCCATAATGAAAATTTCATTTAGAGAGGGTGTGCATTTAAAGAGAGAAATTTTATGTGAGTGCACTTAGAGTACATATATTCTGCTATTGTAAATTCTTGTAACAACTCTTTCTAGTGATAACGACAATCAATTTATCTAATTAAGATACAGTATATTATTCAAAAAATTTAACCTTGGAAGTTATTATATCCAAATTGTTGATGATTTTGATATTGCAAATTATCCGTATTCATGTTATTTACGGAATTTACGTGGCTATTACTAACGAAATTTCCGTTAATATAGTTTTGATTTTGATTTACTAATTGTGATGGCATGATCGCAACTGGAGAGTAAGAATTCATAGAAGATTGATGTTGCGCATTCAAATTGTTTAAATTCATAACTTGGTTAGACTTTGGTCTAACAATAATTTCAAATCCAGGAATTTCGAATTTAAAGATATTACATTGATTTACTTGTGGCTGAAAAGAATCGAAAGTCGTCGAATTCGGTAAGTTAACAAAATGATTTGAAACTGGTTGTCCATTACTATTATAATTATTACTTTGTGATACATGGGGACAACATTGCGGAACTGAACTGACAGTATTAAGAGAATTTATAAAAGGTACTTGGGAAATATTATTACTTGTCATGGAATGAGAATCAGTATGATTGTAAAAAGTATCTAAATTATTACGACTATCCGCTTGTAAATCAGTTAATCGTAAATTACTAGAAAAATTTGGATTTTGACTCATTTTGAAAGATTTATTTTAATATTTTTGAGAGATGCGAAGATTGCGACGGCCTTTTATAATAATGACGTTCACTTCGTCAGATTATATTTCTTTTTTTTGGGATTGGTTTTATTTTATTCTATTTATTTATTTTGGTTATGATTGTTATGATGTGTTAAAATATTTTACGTTAAAAAATAAAAATAACGTGTCAATTATATTAATTAGCACTTCTCGCAAAGAAACAAATTGTTTTTAAAAAAAATCAAATTCCTTTTTTTATTTTTTTTCGAGTATTTCGAGTAGGGCATTTTATAGATATTTAGTCAAGCTTTTTGTTGTACAGATAAAAAATCCCCCCCTTCCATATGGAAAAAATTCGGATATATATATATATATATTATTAATAAGTAAAGTATGTTGATCATTCAAATTATCTTTGTTGTAATGTGTGACAGGTTACGCCACTTAAAAAAAAAAACGTTAAGTCAAATGTTACACCCTTTGTCGTTCTAAGTAGGTTTGTTTTTGTTTTTGAAAAAGAAAAGAAAATTATCTGTGGCGCATGTGCCGATCATTTTGTCCCAGTAGCAAAAAAAATTCACTCACGTGATTTGTGCCATTTTTAATTGGCGCTCACATGTATCATAACAGATAATGATTATCTTGGAAAAAAACAACATATTAATCATTTTATTACTTTTACAATACACTTGAAAATAACTCTTTTCAGTTTTCACTTTATTAAATTTAATTTTAATAAATAAATAATATTATTGATATTTGGAGTTAAGTATACTGTTGCTAATTATTCTTAAAAATTAATATTTAAGTAGTGTGTTCTATAAGAATCAAAATTTTTCCTCTAAGATTTAATTTAATTCACACTTGACTCAAATTCAATTAAGGTTACTGGAAAAATTAGGGGTATTAGCAAATTGGTGAAATGCTAAAATGGCGAAACTTTGCCAAAACTATATGAAAGTCTTATTAAAAAGTTGGTGAAACTCTGGAAAAAAGCGAAACCTGACAAAATTTATTATAAATGCTGAAACTGCCAAAACCTTGCCAAAACTATAATAAAACTATAGTAAAATTTTGGAGAAACTAATTGTAGAATTTTGGAGAGGTTTAGCAGGTAACCTTAAACTCAATTAAACTTCAAAAAATATTATCACAGAATCTAGTGATCTGATTTTAATAATTTTTTTAATCAATAACTCTTATTATTCCGATTAAAATAAAAAAAAATGAACTGTTAGATTAAAAGTTATTCATAAAAAATGTTTTTACCTTTTAGGATTAGGGTTTAATAAGACAATTCCAATGAGCTATATTTCATCCTTTTCTGATCACTGAGTGTCTGAGTCAAAAGTTAGCAAACTGCTTGATTGGTAACTGATTAATATCTGGTTTTTCACCTTTTGACCTGTGCAAGCCAATCAAATCTTATTTAAAAAAAATTCAAGCTTTACAGGTCTTATCAAACCTTATTGATTAATTAATTAATTATAATCTTAATTAATAGAATTTAATAAAAGCTTGTAAAAACTTATCTTTTTAGATAAAATTTATTTAGCTTAAAATGGTTCATAAAGAACACTAGTAAAATTTATTAAAGAATTTTATTTAATTTATTATTAGTCTTATAAATTTTTTAGGCTTAAATTCCAAAATGTAATCTTTATAAGTAAAAATAAAGTTATGGACAAAAAAAAAAGAGTAATCTAAAATGCAAAAAGCATTTTTATCTATAAAATCATTAAAATAATTACTAGTATATAATTTAATTTTATGTATTATGATAAAAAGGTATTTGAAAATTATACTTTTAAGGTAAACTTAATATAGCAGTTATACATGCCACCCAAATTATTTTGAGCTGCCATAATTATAAGTAAAATCCTAAATTCAATTATGATATCCCAAATTATTTTAGCACTTTATATAGTAAATTAAACTAAATGAATTACAGTCAACTCTCTTTATAGTCACACATTTGGGACAGTCCATATTTGGTGATTATGAGCAAACAGTCTTATGACTTTATCTTTTATTATTAAATTTAAACGAAAAGTACAATA